CACCCAGGGCTGACATGGAACACCTCCTGGGCCTCAGAGGACCCACGTCCCTCCCCACTCAATACCACCATCCTCCACAACCATGCATCTGACCAAAACCCAACCAGAACCTGACCACTCCATGCAGCCTGGGTGGTGGGATCCCACACACAGAGTCACTCTCTCTCTCGAGGGACGCCTGCTGCAGTTAACCCTTAAATATTTCCTTAGCGACAGCCAATGAGGGGGAGGCTAACTGGTGGGTGAGGAAGTCTGGAGAGGAGGAGGAGGACTACGCAGATCCTTGCCTGGGAGCAGCCCCTCGTGTGTTTGTCTCAAGTGCTCCAGGAAGCACCCAGCAGTCTGAGCGAGAGGAACCAGAGCACAGTGGTCCAGAGACAGGGTTCTAGGTCTCTGCCACTAGGGCCTAGTCACACAATGCTCGCTGTTATGGTCTGCTCACAGGGCTGTGTGAGGAATAAAGGAATTACTATACATAAACATTCAGAATAGTGCCCACACACTGGAAGTGCTAAGGAGGAGCTATTATTAAGAGTGGGTCTTATGAATCTGCCAGAAATAATCCCATATGATGCAACCTAAATTATCACCATTGTTCTGTGACACCTGCCCAGCCTGCTGGTAGGTCCTCCTCCTACCACAAAACAACTCTGGCCCAGTTCTGCTGGAAGCTCAGGCCATGCAGCCAGGGGCCCCGGAGGACCTGGTCATTCTGCCCCCAAATGCCTCGGGTTCCCCTGCTCAGAGGCCTCAGGGAGGAAAGCCCTTAGGGAGAGCCTCCCATCTGCGTCTGTCTCCAGCAGTGACCCCAGACAGCCGCTTGGCCAGGGAGACACAGGGCCCCTTCCTTCTGGGGGTTCCTGTAACAGCACGCACAATGCCTTTCACCTCTGCACATCTGCTGCCTCCTCCCCTGGCTCGGGTTTCACCCAGGATGAGCCTGCCATGGCCTCATTTTTTGTTATGTCAAAAAAAATTACTTAATTAGAAACTTGGGGTCTTAAGGCTCTGTATTCACTTCATTGATCCTCAGATTTGGGAGTATGGTGCACATAATAATGACATTAAGGAGAAAAAGCATGCTGCTTTGAGAACTAAGTCAAGCGCTCCATTCCTTTTTTTTTTTTTTTTGACAGGCAGAGTGGACAGTGAGAGAGAGAGAGACAGAGAGAAAGGTCTTCGTTTTGCCGTTGGTTCACCCTCCAATGGCCGCCGCGCTGCAGCCGGCGCACCGCGCTGATCCGAAGGCAGGAGCCAGGTGCTTCTCCTGGTCTCCCATGCTGGTGCAGCATGGGCCATCCTCCATTGCACTCCCAGGCCAGAGCAGAGAGCTGGCCTGGAAGAGGGGCAACCGGGACAGAATCCGGTGCCCCGACCAGGACTAGAACCTGGTGTGCCGGCACCACAGGCAGAGGATTAGCCTATTGAGCTGCAGCGCCGGCCCAAGCGTTCCATTCTAACTGCTTCACATAGATTAACTTGTTTAACCCTCGTAATAGCCCTAGGAGTAGGTATTACTGTCCCATTTTACAGACAAGAACTCTGAGGCACAGAGAGCCAAGTTACTTGCTTAAGGTTGCATATATAGAAGAGCAGCAGGGCTGGGATTTGACCAAGGCATTCTGGCTCCAAAAACTGTGATTTAACACTGGACTATCTTGCACAGCTCCCACTCCGGCAGCAGGGACAGGTGGCTCTTACCCCTGCTCTTTGAAGCTGATGGTGGCAGGTCTGATCAGACTCCCACTTGTACTTCCATAACCACTTCACCCAGTTTTTCTCCAAGTCACTCACTGAAGCTTTTAGCCCGGAAATGCTGGCTTTCCAAGAGACCTGTGTTCATTCCCAGAGCTTCCTTGGCAGTGATTTAATTGCAAGCGGCCCCTTAGCAGTGAAGAAGCACACGCCTACTTTGTCATCAAAGGCTGCACGCAGTGGCTCCCAACGCTACACAGTGCTCTCGTGGCCTTGTTCCTCACACCTCTGCCGTAATTCTGTCTCCTAAAGGGTACTGCCTGTCTGGCCCAACACAGTCTTTCACTACTTAGAGAATTTAGAACTGGGCCAGGGGGTAGGGGGAGAGAATGTGCAGATTACCCCATCTAACTGCCTATTCCGTTCTGTGTAAAACAGAGTGAGACCCCTGCGCCAGGATTACCGAGACACTGACACAGCACACACAGCAGGCCCCGGGTTCCTCTGGGTCCCAGCTGAGACCTCCAATCCATCAGGTAAGGAATGTGCCACCTGGTCAGTAATGTCTTCATGATGAACACTGTCTTCAAGTCATGGAGTCTTGTCCTCTGCTCTGTGGACACTGAGTCACTGAGAGCCATTTCAGGAATCGCCTCCACCTCCCTCTGCCAACGCAGGGAGCACTCTGATCCGCTCTGACACGGCTCGCCCAGCCTGGCTCATGATAACTCAATTAGACCTCATGCTCTCGATACCCTGCCCACCTCCAGCACATTACCAGGATTGATAGCTCACCCGGCACACGGCCGTTCCAGCCCCTTGTCCTCATTTATCTCAGAACATCACTTACGCTGCCGCCTGGCAGAGGCTGTGGGTCTTAATCAGCAGCCTGTGGCCTTGGCACCACGGCTAGCATCTACTCTCTGATGTCGACCCCTCCAGAAGATGTTCCCTTGCCTGACAGGTCCTGTCTCCCTCCATCTGCTGAGTGGGCTTCTGTTCTCTCGTCACCTAATACCAGCTACAGAAGGGCACTGCTTGGGGACCACACGGAGACACTGCCACTCCTGACAACACCTATGTTACAGTTAGAACTCAGAAAAATGTTCAGCCTTCTCTGGCTTTCTTTTTCCTATAAAGAATATATCTTGAAGGCTAGTGCTGTGGTGCAGCGGGTTAGGCTACCACCTGCAGTGCTGGCATCCCATACAGGTACTGACTCAAGTCCTGGCTGCTCCACTTCTGATCCAGCTCCCTGTTAATGTGCCAGGGAAAAGCAGTGGAAGATGGACCAAGAGCTTGGGGCCCTGCACCCATCTGGGAGACCTGGAAGAAGCTCCTGGCTCCTGGCTTCAGCCTGGCTCAGCCCTAGCCATTGTCACCATTTGGGGAGTGAACCAGTGGATGGAAGACCTCTCTCTCTAGAGTCTCTTCTTCTTTGTAACTTTGCCTTTTAAATAAATAAATGAATCTTTAAAAATATGTTTATTAAAAACAAACAAAAAGCCCATTCAGTTCAGAAACATACAAAGTCTGCCCCCACATGGATGACCTCGGGCTGGTCTCCCTCTGACTGCAGAACCTGAGGAGACTGCCTGCCCCCGCGAGCAGCTGCCCACCACTCCCCACCTGACACAGGCCCTTCCCCAGTCTCCTCACCTAGGGCTTCCAGGAAGCTGCTGTCTCACTGGTCACCCCCATTCGGCCTTCTAGGCACAGTCCACCTCTTCTCCCTGACCTCTCGATGGAGGAGTGTGCCAGGCCTCGGTCTGTTTCTCTTTTCAGTCCACACTCACTTCCTTGGCAACCTCACTCAGAATCCGGCTTTAAGTCCAGCACCTGGCCAATGGCTCCTAAATTTCTGTGTCCAATCTAGACCTCTCCCTGCTGACCCCCAGACTCATCAGCTTTATCTGTCCAGTCCACGTCTCCGTTTGGCTGGCTAACAGCCCCTCACACAGAAACTGCTGCCACCGGGACTCCCCGTTAACCCACCACTCCACAGCCCTATCCCCTTCTGTCATACTCCGTGCTCAATTCACCAGAAAATCCTGCTGCCTTTATTTATGAAGTAGATCCCCAACCTGGCGCTTCTCACACCCCTACTGTCCCCCACTCCACGTCCTACCTAGAAGACCACAAGATGGTCCCTTGTGGTTTCTGTTTCCACCTTCCCTACCCCAACTGCCTGCACAGGCACCAGAGCAAGCCTCTGAAAACGGGTCAGTTCATGACCCTCTTGGGGTTCGACTAAACTCAGAGTAAAAGGCAAAAGTCCTTGCAGTGGTTTTGATGTCTTTTTTTTTTTTTTTTAGGACAGGCAGAGTGGACAGTGAAACAGAGAGACAGAGAGAAAGGTCTTCTTTTGCCGTTGGTTCACCCTCCAATGGCTGCCGTGGCCAGCGCACTGCTGCCGGAGCACCGCGCTGATCCGAAGCCAGGAGCCAGGTGCTTCAACTGGTCTCCCATGGGGTGCAGGACCCAAGCACTTGGGCCATCCTCCACTGCACTCCCGGGCCACAGCAGAGAGCTGGCCTGGAAGAGGAGCAACTGGGACAGAATCCGGCGCCCCGACCGGGACTAGAATCCCGTGTGCCGGCGCCACAGGTGGAGGATTAGCCTAGTGAGCCGCGGCGCCGGCCGGTTTTGATGTCTTATGTGACCTTGTCTCTCTGCCACACTGGTCACCACCATGCTCACTTGGCCCAGCCATGGGCTGCACTGGCCAATCCTTTGGCCCCAACTCCTCCCTGAGAGGTCCCAAGGCTCTCAAGCCCTTGCCCAATGTCATCTTCTCATTGGGCCTATCCTGGCTACTGTATTCAAAATTGCAATCTCTCCCTTCCCTGCCACCTAATCATCCCTTTACCCAGTTCTACTTTGAAATATTACTTTTTTCTTACCACTTTCTGGCATTTTAAAACATACTGTTTACTATGCTTTTGCTTATCACATGCTTCCTCCCCAACTAGCACGTCAGCTCTATGAGAACAGAGACTCTGACTTCTCAGGACACCCTGCACCTTCGCCATGCCTAGCACACAGCAGGCACTCCACAAATGCTTGTTGATGAATGAATGACAGACCTCGGAGGCTTGCCCAGTCACTCTGTGGCCTTTCCTGCACAAAGACCCTTTTCATATGGACAACGCTACTGGGGGGGGCAACCTCTTCTGAGCACCCCTCCTGTCTTCCTACTCCTAGCTGGACACCTACCGCAGCACCCTTGTTCTGTCTGCCCACTCAGGGACCAACTCCCATTCTGGCATTCTCCCCAGCCCAGGCCAAGCTCCTTGGCTGCTCACCTGAAAGTCCTCCTCATCCAGGATCTCTTTCCTCCACTTGATCAAGAAGGCTGCACACACGTAGAGATGAAAATGAGAGAACCCTTCTGGCTCAGACTAGGAAGGAAAAAAAAGAGACGGCCTCTAAGCCCTGATAAGGAGCCAGCTCTGGTCCTCTCACTCCAGGCCTTCTGGACAGTGGGAGAGCAACACCTGTTTCATGGTTGGAATAACAGGGGCCTGAAAAGATCCACCCGGGGCCCTGCCTGCAAGGCTACGGCACACACGGAGGCAGAAAGGAGGCGGTGGGGAAGGCCTGTGCCGCTCACTGTACGGCAGGGCAGGCAGTGAAGCCTGGAGGGAGGGGGCATGGGTCTCTTGGTACCTGGTAAGTGTCCCACAGGCGGATGGTGCAGCGAAGGGGAAGCTCCCGCATCAGCAAGTTGTTCATCCAGCGAAAGGCGAACTGCAGGTATTCGACCTCGTACCTCCTGAAGTGGTTATGCACCTGCTCTGAAACAGGAAGCATCGTTGGTCCCATGGGCACAGACCAGGGGCTCCGACCCTGGAGGGCCACAGGAATCTAAAGGGCAGTTTCCATTTCTTCACCCCCCAGACACAGAGAAGCAAACAGGCATCTGCGTCCTTCACGTTTGAGTCCACCCCTCGCAGCAACACTGCACGGAGCACAGCGTATCATCACACAGTGACTTCTGGGTACTCGTCTTCCTTCACGGACTGCTCTGGCCACAGAGCAGGAGATGGAAGGTCCGTGCAGCTGCCTGACCTATTACTCATCAGAGGAGCTGGACTGGGAAAGAGGGTTGAGGGCACCTTAGTCACCCTTGTGCGGTGTGCACTGCTCTGCAGCACCCCTGACAGATGGCAGCTGGCAGGGCCTGAACGACTGGCTGCACTCAAGGGCAGTCTCCTGCGTGGACACGCTGTGTGATCACTGCCGGGTGTCTCCTGTATCCACAGGACCAGCTGCCTGCCAACCCCCGCCACTTGGGATCTGTGTGCGCTTCTGCAGCAAGCCAAAATAAGCCTGACTTCCATTCTACATGACAGCCCCCCGATCGATGTTCACTTAGTCACTGTCCTCCTCAGTTTCCTAGCCTAGAAAATGGGGACAAGTGTTCATACCTCTGTGGGCTTGGGGGATAAAATGAGAAAATATAAGTAAACATAGCAGCACCTGGCATGTGGTAAATATTTAATAAAGTTCTTGAAAGAACTACTAACAATGACTACTTCTGGTAAGTAGAATTTAAGGAAGGGAGATGATGCCTACTAATTTTGTGCTTTTTTTGAATTGTTTTAATTTTTGGAATGAGCAAGTCTGAGTATTACTTCTCTAAAGCCAAAACCAATAAGGATATATCCATTTAAAAGTCCTCACTCCTGGGGGTGGTGTTGTGGCACAGCAGGTTAAGCAGCTTCCTACAATGCTGGCATTCCATATCGGAGTACCAGTTCGGGTCCTAGATGCTCCACTTTCAATGCTTCTCGCTAATGTACCTGGTAAGGCAGTGGAAGATGGCCCAAGTGCTTGGGCTCATGCCATCCATGTGGGAGATCGAGATGGAGTTCCTAGATCCTGGCTTCAGCCTGGCCCAGCTCTGGCTATTGTAGCTATTTGGGGAGTGAACCAGCAGATGGAAGATTTCTCTCTCTCTCTCTCTCTTTCTCTCTGTTACTATGCTTTTCAAATGAATAAACAAGCAACTCTTTTAATGATAAAGGAAGTCCATATTCCTGAATCGCTGTGCCTTTATTTATTAGGTATGTGTAAGGGAGGAAAAAACAAGGATAGGACAGAAAGTGGACAAAACCACCGCCTCCTCCCACTGGCAGCCAGCTCAGCACCCAGGAGAGGGCAGAACACACCTGTACTGGGCTGGGGTGAGGGATGCACTGGCCCAGGCTTGCACGGGGCCCCACCAAGGGAGCCAACAGCAAGTCATTCTCAGAGCAAACTGCAGAAACCTAGGGGTGGCTGGGCCAGAGCCGCGGCTCGAGAGAGGCAGCAGGGTGAACTGTGGAGAGGTGCTGAAGCAGAACGGCTGCAACTCGGATGCAGAGCACCAGGGGAAGGAAGCTGACATGGCAGCAGAGTTCTCAGCTCCCTTTCCTGAGACGCGGGACACTGGAGCTGCCCCAGCAGTGAGTGCACTGGAGAGAGAGGGCCATGGCTGGGAAAGGAGCTGGATCATGTCAGAATGCTACCGGGCGAGGGCAGGAGAACCGCCCAGAACCTACCATCGATCCGGCTGACAAGCTCTTCCAGTGCCTTGACTTTCTTCTGGATCCCTGGCTGTGCAAAGGTGTAGTTATCCTGCAAACGATACAGAGCCAGGGTGAGCAGGGACTCCCTGCTGTGCCATTGTCCCTCAAGCTCACTGAAACATGTTTAAAAGCAAAAGCTGTCTTTCCAAAGCCAGTGCCAGTGTTTTGTGGAGAATGAAGGGAAAGCCTAATGGAGCTTTCCACTGTGCTGTGGAAGCAAACCCACATGGCTTGGGGTGCCCAGGGGGAATTTATTCCATTGGCAAAGCCGGCACACACAGGGCCATGGCTGTTTGAAAACTGTAAAGCTAATGAAAGTCACGGAGACAGATCAGAAGTGTGTGTGCGTTATGTGTGTGGTGGGCAGACCCTGGGGGTGGGTGGTCCTGCCTGATACAGAAGAGAAATGAGGAAAGCAGAGGCCTGCAGGCAGCTCTGGGCCCACACGCACCTGGATGCCGTCCAGCAGCTTGCTCATGCACCAGAAGCTGTCGGCCTCAATGCTTCGCAGCATGTCCTGAGACAAGTTGGTCACATCAAAGTTCTCCACATCCTCTTCTGTAAAACAAAAGGTGAAGAGAGTCCAGAGGTCTTATCTAAAATGGAGAGAGAAAACAGAGCCTAGTGTCTTCAACAGGGTCCTCAAGGCCAGGGAGAAGCAGGCTAAGCCAGTGCCATGGGACCAGCACCTGCCCTCCCACTCCCACTGTTGGGTGGGCAAACGTGTCCCACATCACAAGTTCTCGAGCACCTGAACCGGTGGTTCCTCACATCAGTCCCTCCGGCTGGGCGCTCTGCATCTGTCCTCTCAGTTTGAGAAAATGACAGTGAGCTACACTCTGCTCCCTGGTGATGGTCTGGGAAGTCTCTGATTTCAGAAATGCAGAGAGCTGTCTAGCACCCTGACACTTACATGCAGTGAGAACAGCTGGCATCAGAGCCCCCATGGTTGAGTTCAAAGACAGAACCCCCGATTCTGATAAGGCAGACCTGTGGCTTTGCCACTCACAAGTGTGCGTGGAGGAGGATGAACCAAGCCTGTGGGTGCCTCTGGAATTTAATTCCCCCAAGACAGTTTCCCAAGATGAGTTCTGATGCACCAACCCCAGCAGGTACTCCAGAAATAAGTCTCATAGACAACATAGCTGAGAAATGTTACATAGCCCCATCTTGGAAATTCACAAAGATCACAGCATACAAAATGATTTGAGACGCTGTAGGAAATTCAGCATTAAGTGAATCTACTTAAGCTTGTTTTTCCAGCATTTCCCACACTTAAGAGGGTACTTCCAAAGGCTCATGGAAAATGAAATTAAGACAAGCTGGGCTGGCGCCGTGGCTCAATAGGCTAATCCACCACCTGTGGTGCTGGCACACTGGGTTCTAGTCCCGGTCGCTCCTCTTCCTGTCCAGCTCTCTGCTGTGGCCTGGGAGTGCAGTGGAGGATGGCCAAAGTACTTGGGCCCTGTACCCACATGGGAGACCAAAAGCACCTGGCTCCTGGCTTTGGATCAGCGTGATGTGCCGGCAGCAGCGGCCATTGGGGGGTGAACCAACAGTAAAAGGAAGACCTTTCTCTCTGTCTCTCTCTCACTGTCCACTCTGCCTGTCAAAAAAAAAAAAAAAAAAAGAGAGAGAGAGAGAGAGAGAGACAAGCTGGGGCCAGCACTGTGGCGTAGCAGGTAAAGCTGCTGCCTGCAGCGCTGGTATCCCATATGGGCACCGATTCGAGACCAGGCTACTCCACTTCTGATCCAGCTCTCTGATATGACCTGGGAAAGCAGTGGAGGATGGTCCAATCCTTGGGCCCCTGCACCTGCGTGGGAGAGCCAGAAGAAGCTCCTGGTTCTTGGCTTCGGATCGGCACAGCTCAGGCCATTGCGGCCAATTGGGGAGTGAATCAGCGGATGGAAGGCCCCCCACCCCCTGCCTCATTGCCATGAACTTTGAAAACTCCTTGTATTTAGCCATAGAATTTCTTTTACAATAAATTTTTTTTTTTTTTTGAGAGATGGGGATGGGGGTGATATGAGAGAGGGAGAGAGAGAGAAAGCACTCCCATCCACTGGTTCATTCCCCAATTATCTGCAATGTCTGGGGTAGACCTGGGGCTGGGCCAAAGCCTGGCACTGGGAATGCAATCAGATCTCCCAACTACCTGGGCCATCACCACTGCCTCCCCAGTTTGCATTGGCAGGAAGCTGGAGTCAGGAGCAGGAGGCAAGCATTTGAACCCAGGCACTCTGATGTGGGATACATAGGTGCCCTAACCGCTGGGCTAAACATCTGCTCCCCACATGGCTTCCACAAAAAAGGACTACCAGCTTCTCATAACCCCAAGCTGAGTAACAGGTGAGAGCAGTTCTAGTCTGAGATTCAGTGGGAGAGAACATAAGAAGCTCTTAGGAAACTTGCAGAAGGAAAAGGCCAAGTGATATTTGCTTCCTAGCCATCACCAAACACTTCCCTCCCGCTGCAGAGAGGTGCAGCAGTAAGAAAAGCACTCTCTGCCCAACCAGACAGGCCACCATCTATCTGTGCCAAAGGCAGCTTTTCTCCTCAGACCCGCAAGCCCTATTTTGAAAACAGGTCAGTGCTATGGCATAGTGAGTGGGCTAAGCCTCCGCCTGCGGTGCCAGCATCCCATATGGGCGCTGGTTCATGTCCCGGCTGCTCCTCTTCCGAACCCACTCTGAGCTATGGCCTGGGACAGCAGTGGAAGATGGCCCAAGTGTTTGGCCCCTGCGCCCACATGGGAGACTTGGAAGAAGCTCCTGGCTCCTGGTTTCGGATCGGCCCAGCTCCAGCCATTGCAGCCATTTGGGAAGTGAACCAGTATATGGAAGACATTTCTCTCTGTCTCTCCTTTTCTCTGTAACTCTACCTCTCAAATAAAGAAAGAAATATTAAAAAAGAAAGAAAAGAAAAAAGAAAGAAAACAGGTCATTGCAGCCCCTTGTGCTACACAGACACAGGTGTTGGACCAGATGCATTCAGAAGCCACCCCTTTCATTTAAGGGAATGATTACTAAGATCTGTATCTGAACCTCCTCATGACAACATAAACACTCCTGGATTCTCATCCTGCTTAAAGAGCTGTTTTTTATGGACATCAAGGGCTATAAAAAAACCTTTTTGGGGAAGCTGGGGTACTTTGCCAGAAAAGCTATGACCCTGGAAATGACCTAACAGTCTGAGCTGACGGACGTATGGCCACAGTTAATGCACATAAAGTGCTGACCGCGGAGCCTGGCATGCAACAGGCCTGCTGCCGTTGTTTTAGGTGTTTGCTAGGAGTGTGCAGTGACATGGGACAGTGTTACAGGGAGAGAGCAAGGCACAGATGATTTACGGAATACTTTCAACTACTGTACATGCAATATTTATGTGTTTATAGAAGCACAGAGGAAAGAAAATATATCACAAGGTTTATAGTGTTTATTTCCCGGGTGGCAGGGATAAAGGATTTTATTTTCCTTAGGCTTTACTGGAATTTTCAAAATTTCTATAATAAGCATAATTTTCAGTCAGAAAAAAATGCACATTATTTTAGAAAAAAAGGAGTCACAACTGACTACAATTTGCCTTTTATGACAAAAAAAGAAGATTTTATAAAATTAGCTTGCAGAAGCTAGTTAAAATCTGGTAATATAAATTTGAGAAATCACATTTTTATAAAACTCTTCTGAGAAGCATCATTTTCCTACCTTAAACATTTATTATGTAATGATTTGGGGGGTATATATATAATTATTACATACAATAATATCATTTAATATTACATTTATTATTAATTTAGTTAAATGATACTGGGTTTTAACCGCCAGCTCAGAACCATCTGTATTCTTTTTGCTTCAGATCATATCCGTGTTACTCTACACGCCTCTAGTTCTTGCCACGTGAAGTGCCTGCACCACACGTGACATATCCATTCCCCCATCCAGGAACAGGCACCCAGGTTGCCTCCAACCTTCACAAGCACCAACAAAGCCCTGAGGATTTGCACCTTTATGAGACGGCTATGGGTCAGGGGCTCAGCCAGAGCCCTACCAGTGTACAGGAAGGGGCGGCCTTGCCTCATTAGCAAGCGAGGTGGCTCGTGCTAACCAGCGGAGGCAGCAGCTCCCTCTTTGTGAACAGGAAAAAGCAAAACCCACAAGGATGGCTCAAGGCAAAGTTATCTCACAGCTCATACACAGTTCCCAAAGGAAGGCAGAGCACCGGAGGAACCTGGAGGGTCTTTTTCTACTTGGGGATGCTCCGTTCCAGATCCCGGCAACAGAAGCGCCGCAGGAGTGGGAGACACCTGCTGCAGAGCAACAGGCGAGAGAACCGGGTCCCCAAGCACGATGGGGACACAGCTGCATTTCAGCCCTGGCGTACCTGCCATTTCAACCACAAAGCCTACAGTTGCTTTGTTCGACAGAACAGGACGTGGTTAAGCCCAGACTCTGGAGCATAGTTCCTGGCTTTGTCACTCACAAGCCATGTGACTTTGGGCAGATGGTGTTACCCTCCGTGCCGCAATTCCTCATCTGTTAAGGTGGGAATATCAGTACCAGAGTCTTAGGATATTGTAAGGATTAAAACAGTAATACATGAGAAGTGCTGACAACAGTGCCTGGCATTAAAAAACACTTAAATGTGAGCTGGCACTATTATGATTATTGCTATTACACTAGGGACAAACACCTCTATCTTGTTTAAGCCACTGATAACTTGGGTATCTGTCATACCTGCCATCCCAAGATGTACCTTAAAGATAAGTCGTTCTCCAAAGCTTCCCACTTCTGCCCTTTGGACTTCGGAGGAAAAGCTGAGAAGTGACAGGAGGTCACAAGTTGGCAGGGGCCACACTGAGAACCTATACCGACCCCAGACCTTTAGCTGTCCAGGCAAGGCACCAGCAGACAAGGCAGTGGGCCCTATCTGGGGGCCCTGAGTTGCGGCTGGGGGCTGTGCTCTGCCCACTAGCCCTTTGCTCTGTTGACAGCAGGATGGTTCGCCAGCATTTTGGAGAGCAGGAGGGAGCGTTCAGTTGTTTTTCTGCCTGCTGGGAGGATAAGATTCACAGATTCAGTCAAAAACTGAGCTGCCTGCACCAGCAGAAAGCGGCGGAGAGAGGGGGAGCGAATCTCTCTGCAGGCCTCACTCGGCATAAACAGTCTGTTCAGAAGGATCATTAGTGTCCACTTGAGGAAACTCAACACATAATTGAAACTGGGACGGGAAACCACACCAGTGGCACGGTCCCGGGTGAGGGCAGCATCTGTGGTTGTCATGGCAGAGCCTCGGCCTGGAGGGACTGAGACTTAAAGGGATGTTTTATGGCGATCTTTAAGAGGCAGAGCATCCGAAAGGAGAAAACCCAAAAAGCTCTTTATAAAAATCAAATTGCCCACTCTGGGCTTGACAAGAACATGTCCATTTATTAGCTGATAAAATCCACTTGAGTGGCGGCCCCAGTCAACTATTTATTTTGCTGGAACTCTGAGTCCCCGGCCTGAAATCAGTATAATGCGTGCTTTTAAACACTCCCGACAACTTTGGGAAGAACT